GGTTTTTTTGTTGTTGCTTTTTTGTTTTGTTTTAAGATTCTCTAAGGTGGAAATGTTGATCTCACATAGATGGGCAATATGCAATATCCAGTATTCAACAAATATGTATTGGGCACCTATTATGTGCTAGTCATTAGGAATACAGCAGTATGCAAAGTGAAGCCTTTTCCTCATGCATTTTATCTTCTAACGAACAGTAGTACATAACATTTATCAAGGACTTACCATCTGCTGGGCACTGTTCTAGCACTTTATAAGATAACCCTCTAGGGCAGCCGTTCTCAACCATAACCCACAGGAACTGTATTAAAGGGCCAAGTTAGGAAGGTTGAGAACCACTGCTCTAGGGCATGCCCTATACTTATTACTCTTTGTACAAGCTCACATGGTTGGAAAGTTCACACCAGGGTTCAAATCCAGGCAGCCTGGCTCCAGAGTCAGCACATTTAATTCATGACTCTTGTGCTCCAGATGTGCCTCAGAGTTTCCCTTCTCTGGTCCCATCATATCTTGTATTTGTCCCTATTGGAGCACCTCCCCCATATCTTTGTTCCTTTGAGCTTTTGGAGGGTAGGGCCTGTCTGTCATCTCTGTATCCCAAGATATTATAGTGCTTGGGACCAACCAGAATTAAAGACTCCTCTCAAAACACATGTGGAAAGACATCCTGATTCAGGTGCATATAGTAAATGCCCCTATGGGTCTCTAAAACCCTATCATTCCATCACATCCAGCTTAGGCCTCTGATTTATGGATATGTGAGGATTCCCTGCAGGGAAGTCTTTGCTTAAAGACACAGGACTTCTTTGTGTGTGAGCAGCTGCAGGCCTGGGCAATTGCAGCCCAATTGATGGGGAGCTTGAGATTTAAACCTCATGCCTTGGAGTGTTGCCAAGGTGCTTATGTAACCTGGGGGGTTGAGAGAAGGGTGCTCTGTGGCATTGTTCCAGAGTTTACTCTTAAAAATGGATTGGAAACACCTAAATGAGCAGCAAGAAAGACTAAGTCAAATAACCTCCTACAGGACAATGCTGTGCCATCATTAATTAACCAGGCTGTAAAAATAAGACTTAAGAATAGGAGTAAATGATTAAGATTTAAATGAATGGAATAGACATTATAATTTTTATTTGAACATCTCAATATTTTGGAGAGTAAGTTTGCTCAGAAAAGAACAGAAGGCTATCATCAAAATGATGAGATTTTAGAGGTGACATATTTCATCTTTTTTTGTACTTTTCTGTCTGTCCAAATTTTTATGTAGAAATACATTCATTACAATTAGAAAACCATTATTAAATAATAAACAGAAAGTAAACACTTTTTAAAATGATTTAAACACCTAATACTGGCCCCAAGGGAGACCTTTAATCTATGTTTTGTGCATACTTTCTTGTACTGGGAGCTCTGCCGTGATCACAACACAGCAAGTTGCTGGGTTAGAAACCTTGGCAGGTGTTTCCATTGATGCTAGACTTCAGGGGCTGTGGCTCTGGTTGCAAAACCTCCACTGATTATCTGATCCAGAGATCTAAGGCCTTGAGGATAGAACATCCCTCATGCTAGCAGGAAATAATGAAACCTTCTAACCTTAAAGCCCTTTGGAACAAATGGATATAAACACGTAAGTCTCTAGTGTTGCTACAGCCCTTCATATTGTACAGTGTGCCTTCTCATTTAATCCCCACAATGACACAGAGAGCGATGGTCCTATCATCCCTAAGTTATAAGCAAGGAAAGGACTTGCCCCAGATATTGTAGCAAGGACCAGAACTTGGACCCAGCTCTTCTGACCCAAGCCTTTCCTTTGCTTCTTTGACTCCATTCTGGGAGCAAGGAAGCAAGCTTGATGAGCACCCATGGGAGGCTCAGCACAGTCCTCCTGTGGGCTGGCCCTTAGTGGGCTTACAGATAAGCCTGTCTGCTCTAGTCAGACCAGGTGGCTCTGGCAGGGTGTCATCAGGAGGGCTAGTCTGAGCACTAGGAGACAATGTTGGCCAACACTCTCAACTACCCAAAGATGTGGGAAGGGCTTTACTAGTGGCCACACGCCAGATATTAGATTTAAAAAGCTCTTGTATAACCACAAGCCAGATTCCAACCTGTGCTCTAAGCCCTGCCACATTGCATTCTCAGCTCACACTTGTTCCTTCCACCATTTCAACAAGTAATCTTTGTGCACATTTTATGCCCTGCATATATGGAAAGTTCTTTTAAGGGTAGTGACCAGATCCTATTCCCTTTGGTTTCAGCCTGTTACTTAAGGTGTGATAGGTGTGTTTAAACAGGGTTGGTTACAGTGGTTACAGCTAAGACATAGAATCTAAGCCGGGAGTTGTCCACTGGAAAAATGAGAACATAGTGAAGGGATGAGGAGACAGAAGCAGAGCCTTTTGGGGGCCTTTGCACACTTCCTGTAACTGAAGCAGGATCCAGTGACAGTTTCTTAGGGTGGAGTCAATCAGGGCCATAGGCTGAGACCAATAGATCCAGAGGTTTCTTGATTCCAGAGCTGTCAAGTCCCAGAGCTGCGCATTTAGGCTTCATCCTGACATATAAAGAGTATTCCCTGGGTTAAGAGTACACAGTGGGAACTGAACAAGCACATCTTCAGGGGAAATGTGTATTGGTGTGTTGCTGACTTAATTAAATATTCTCCCCTTGATTTTCAGTATTTCCTGATTTCTCCCTCTAAGAACTTTAGAATGTCTGCTAATGGCACCCTCTTCTCCACAACAGGATTGGACTATGAAGCGGGACACAGCAGGTAGCCTTGGCGGTGCTTGAATCCTGTTTGTCTGAGGGTGGAGGACAACAGGAGGGATGGTAGTGTACCCGAGGACAGCTGCTCCCAGCGTCTGTGCCTCATCTGAAATTCAGAGGGCAGTGAACGCAGGGAAGGAGTAGGGCATACGGCAGCCGTCTGGACGGCCCCCTTCCTGTATAAAACCTCCAACTCCAGAGAACAAGATTGATGGTGTGGGAGAGGGTGCCCAAGTATCAGGAGGACGGCTGAGACCCCTCTGTTTGGGAGAGGCAGCTGTCCCAGCAAAGGGGCTGAGTGGCCCTAAAGTAGCGAGGAGGCGGGGTGAGCAGGCCTTGGGGAAGGGCCCGGCCTCAGGAACAAAACCACGTAGGCCTTGGGGGGAAGCAGGTGAGGCTCCTGGCTCTGCGCCAGGCATGGGGACCAGAGCCAGCTTCTTCTGCCCTGGTGCCTGGCTCCTTCCCATGGGTGTGGTACACGTGGCCCAGGGACATGGAGGCAGAATGTTCCACAAGGCAGGTGCTGTGAGGCGGTGGCTGTGGGGAGCCACTGTAGGATAGGGGTTGGGGCGTGGGTTGACAAATCAGGAGAGAGAC